TCAGCATGAAAGCGATAAACTGGAAGACCGTGACCTTGTAGGTAAAGCACCATGTCCTGAACTCCGCGCTTGACTGTTCCAGACTGGTTGTTGGGAAGGGCAACGGCAAACGTTAAGAACGTCATCTCTGGTGGTTTGCAATCGCCACTCTGCATAACAACGTTCAAGTCCCCTGTTCCCTCCTCTTCAACCTGCTCCTCCTCAACTGGCTCCTCTTCACCGGGAGGTTCCGAAGGCTCATAGTCTCCTGCATCTTCATCATGAGTCCAACCACTGTGCTCACCCGTGACGTTTCCAATAACTTCCACCTGCGGAGCATCAAGCTGTAGAATCCCTTTGGCCTCAGAATCACCGAACAGCTCGTCCATATCACACTGCTGCTCCTCGGTCAGGGGTAGCGGTTCTGGTCCGGGATCCTTAGGTACTTCAGCGGGTAGAGGTTTGCCGGTATACTCTTCGATGAACTGCTTGGGTACCAAATACTTTCCAATAAGCAGGTAGCGGAGATTCTTGCCTAGGGTGCCCTTCGAGGTAGCATCCAGCCCAGGGCTTAATGGTCCAGCCACGTCTGCTGTCAGGACATATGCCTCCGGGTGATGAATGCGCCGGTGCTGACGGCCGATGCCCCGTGACATAACACAGGTTGCACAGTCCTTTCGGTACACGGCATGGTTGGTGTCGACATGATTCTTCCACTGCTCAGCCGTCATTGCACATAACCGAGGAGCACACCGAGGATCGCGATCCCAAAACTTTAGAGCAACTGTAATTGCCCTGACCAGTCCTGCTGACCAGATATAGTCTTGGCTTCCTCGTAGTGGAGCAGGATCATCATCTGGTAGGCGGGCCTCATCTAAGGCCATCAGCGAGTTCACGTTGGTTCCCAGGGTTGTTTGGTTCCGCGTAGCACCTCCCATGACGCCTTGATCAAACGAAACTGTTCTCATTTCGAGTTCCCGCTGAAACCCCTTCCACATCCTGGTGTCCCAGAACGCCACGTCTCCTCTGACCGTGGTCCAGCCCACTTGATCGTTCCACCTTCGCTCTTGTACTTGCTCCCAGTACCGACGGGTACCGTCCCATGATGCCACTGGTCCCCGTCTTCTCCCTGGGACCCGGCAGGCATCTTCGGCTTCCTGAATTTGCTGCTCACGAGCTCGACGCTGATCGGCCGGAAACCCTTCTGGATACTCCATCACGAAGGCAACTTCCCTGTTTACATTGGCGCCACTTGCATTGATTTCGCGTCCCACTTGCGCCACCGCGTAAAGCCACATCATTCTCGCAATCAGCTTCAGTGATTTCACATCACGGTCACCTCCTTTGCAGTGCTGAAGAGAACGTCCAGGGGGACCACCCATCACCACATCAACCTTGCCGTGCTTTGCTCCCCACAACAACATACGCCACGTCTCGTCCCGCAGAACATCGTGACCACTGCAGCGGGCAATGTCAAGCTCGATAACCGAAGTCTCGCCTTGATCCAGCTGCATCACCTGCCAATGTCCTTCTGCACCGGCAAACAAATGGACCACCCATCTCTTACTTCCCATAAGCTTCCTTCTTTGTGGGCGTGTGAGGAAGCCATTAAGTTTGAAGATGTCCCAACCATTCTCCAAACCACCTCCTGGGATTAGCCCTGAAATGCATTCACCCGGCAAGTCCTCGAAGAATGGAGCATCTCGTACTGCTCGCAAGCCAGACTCGAAAGAACCCTTCGCCACGTAGTCGTAGAGGTAGTGGTTCCAATGCAACTCCATAGCCATTGCCGACAAACCCACCTTGTCCTTCGTAGTGACCGTCTCATTTTCCAACTGCTCAAGCTTGCGATCCTCTATGCGTGCTATCAGTGATAGCGCCTCCATTTC